CACTACAATGAGGCAACAATTACCTCAATTGCTCACCATAGTTGGGTCTCTGTGACGCCACAATACTTCTCTGTGACGTTCTGTTGCGTCACAACTTTGCGTCACAAGTTTGCTTCAAGGCAACACGACATCACTCATGCCCGTCTGTCTGAGCGCCTTTCTTGACTGGGGGGGGGGGGTAATAAACCTCAATTCATCAACCTCTTAGTCAATCTTACCGGAGGCTCTTCAAATAGGACGGGGGGGGGGGGGAGGCGGTAGAAGAGAGGAAGAGACAGAATAGGAGACAGAGACAGAAATATTGGGAAGAGAGACTCACTAGGGGAGACGAATTTATTATACATTCCAAGCTTTCTGCGTGATAGATCAGGCAGTCACGCTGTGCGCTGGGCTTGACCTGACCATCCCAGCTAATCCCAAGGCGGGAGCCAATCACCGTAAAGATCCGTTCGATGGCCCACCAATCACCGTGGGGGGAAGATATACGACTAGCCAATCACACGGTCATTGATAGAAAACAAGAGGTGCTGACGGCTCTATGCATACAGCATTATGCTGTGAAGACGTCTCCTAGGCACCGCTCCTGTGCCAGGTAAGTCCACTACGGGCTCACCATAGCCCGTGCTACTTGCCCCGCTCCTGTGCCGGGTAAGTCCACTACGGGCTCACCATAGCCCGTGCTACTTGCCCCGCTCCTGTGCCAGGTAAGTCCACTACGGGCTCACCATAGCCCGTGCTACTTGCCCCGCTCCTGTGCCAGGTAAGTCCACTACGGGCTCACCATTGCCCGTGCTACTTGCACCGCTCCTGTGCCAGGTAAGTCCACTACGGGCTCACCATAGCCCGTGCTACTTGCCCCGCTCCTGTGCCAGGTAAGTCCACTACGGGCTCACCATAGACCGTGCTACTTGGAACTTGTTCCGAGTAGCTGAATCTATAACAAGACCAACATCTGAAGACACAGCTATGTTCTTGGTTGGTAGAAGTCCTAAGCTTAGTGGTAATCTTAAGCTTACTATGCTGATAGCCGTAGTCCAAAGCTTATTACGCTAATGGTGACAAGTCCTAACCTTCGAGTCAGTCCTAAGCTTTGCGGATAAGTCCAAGGGAAGTCCCCAAGCTCAGAATATCGAAGATGACCGGCTCAAGCTTAACTAACACTCCAGTTGTTGTTGTTATAGATTCAGCTACTGGGAACAAGTTCCAAGTAGCACGGTCTATGGTGAGCCCGTAGTGGACTTACCTGGCACAGGAGCGGGGTAAGTAGCACGGGCTATGGTGAGCCCGTAGTGGACTTACCTGGCACAGGAGCGGGGCAAGTAGCACGGGCTATGGTGAGCCCGTAGTGGACTTACCTGGCACAGGAGCGGGGCAAGTAGCACGGGCTATGGTGAGCCCGTAGTGGACTTACCTGGCACAGGAGCGGGGCAAGTAGCACGGGCTATGGTGAGCCCGTAGTGGACTTACCTGGCACAGGAGCGGTGTTGATAACATCTATTCTAGAGACATGATTGCACTAGTTAGTGGAGACGCGGAAACGTTGATTGTTGCACGAGAAGAGGATTGTGATAAGCTGTTAGTGATGAGGACGTTGCAAAGGTTATTTTCGTTGCAACCATGTTGTTGATATCACGCGGTGACAATGGTATTGATGTCATGTTGCGGATCCTGCTTTTCATCATATTAATAATTATATATATAATATATATATATATATATATATATATATATATATATATATATATATATATATATATAAACAACGGTATTGTTTGCATCATATTTAATTTGATTTTCATATAATGTATTATAAATTGTGGTCTGACACTTAAAACTTATATTATCATTAAATTGAAAAGTTTATTAATATCTTCGATCGCTCATATTTCAAGATGTTTTCTCCACCATTTAATTATATATATATATATATATATATATATATATATATATATATATATAACATTCCCTCTAATGCGTTATGCGTGGTTTCCTCCGAGGCCATGGGTCCCCCTTTTTCCAGCTAGAGGTGGTACTCCCTTTATATTTATATATATATATATATATATATATATATATATATGTCGTACCTAGTAGCCAGAACTCACTTTTTGGCCTATTATTCAAGGCCCGATTTGCCTAATAAGCCAAGTTTTCCTGAATTAATATATTTTCTCTAATTTTTTTCATATGAAATGATAAAGCTACCCATTTCATTATGTATGAGGTCAATTTTTTGTTATTGGAATTAAAATTAACGTAGATATATGACCGAACCTAACCAACCCTACCTAACCTAACCTAACCTATTTCTATAGGTTAGGTTCGGTTAGGTAGCCGAAAAAGTTAGGTTAGGTTAGGTTAGGTAGGTTAGGTAGTCGAAAAACAATTATATCATGAAAACTTGGCTTATTAGGCAAATCGGGCCTTGCATAGTAGGCTGAGAAGTGTGTTCTGGCTACTAGGTACGACATATATATATATATATATATATATATATATATATATATATATATATATATATATATATATATATAAATATATATATATATATATTATTCACTCTGGTGTACATGTATAACTACCGATTTTTTTGTCTCTGTTTTGAAAGTGCACTGAAATATTGCTTGGAGTTTGGCTGTTTCGGTCAGTGACCAACCGTCGCAAAGGCACCACGGGGAACTATGCTACAACAGCCGCCCGCTAGAGGGTGCTGTGAGGAGTAACGTAGAATTTAATAATAAATGAGTGATTTATCCCCCCCCCCCCACCCTATGGTCGCAGGCGTTATCTCAGACACGGTCGCAGGCGTTATCTCAGACACGACCTCTCCTAACCATACTCATATTTGGAGTGAGAATATGAATTAATAGTTTATCCCGGCTTGATCCAGTTCCCAGCTGGATAAGCTACGCCATAACATCCTGATTGATTCATCATTCCACCCGGATGATTGATGACATAACACTATCAATCATGTCTAAATTTGTCTTATCACCTGTATGATGCAACATTATCATCCTGTGCAACTTTTTAAATTATTAATGAGATATATATATATATAATCTATAATGAACCACCTATGAATATGCATTAAATTACTTAATGATATACTGATTAGGAATGACGAATATGCTGCATATGCTAATTTATCAACCTCTTAATAGATAACTAATAAACGTATTTATTTTATATTGATTTGCCAGTGTTGATTTATTTTTGAATGCTGTTTAGAGTAATTCAATTTGTTCTATATTTGTATTGGTCATCATCTAAATTACTCCGTTTATATATTTGTTTAATTAAGGATTTAAAGCTGTTAAATATGCAAGATGATAATTAATAATACCACTTCAATAATTTACAAATTTATATATATATATATATATATATATATATATATATATATATATATATATATATATATATATATATATATATATATATATATAAATTTGAGCCTCCAGAACCTCCTAGTGAGTTCAGTAGATTTCCAGGATTGGTCGCCTTTTGTACCATCATGGCTGAGTCGGTTAAGGCAGGTTTCTGGGAATCACCAGAACGCGGATTCGAGTCACTCCAATGCCTCAAAATGATTTTCATTCCTATATCACGCGGATGGAAAATGTAAACTTAACGCCGTTAGAAAAATAGAAGAGAGGAGACATGATAGAGACATGTAAAATAATTGATGGAATTAATAGGGTGGAAATATCGGGAATTTTTTAGTGATGATTCACAGTTACTCATTACAGTGAATGAGTAACAGAAGAGAATGGTACACTAGCGTCTACACTACACCGTACGGTACCACGTAAGTCCCCCCCCCCCCCCTCTAGGGCTCCGAGGGCACGGTACATTCCAAAAGCACTGTACTGTGCACGGTACACGTACCTCCAACACCATCATTATAATTAGGAATAATGAATCAAGATACTAATCTGTTATTTACAGTGATTAATAGAGTTAAATTAGCTGGTTTGATTTGGTCTATATTTTACTTAATCATTGGCCCCTCCCCCATTGTAAGCTGTATACTGCCCTTCTTGAGGTTATCTTGAGATGATTTCGGGGCTTAGTGTCCCCGCGGCCCGGTCCTCGACCAGGCCTCCACCCTCAGGAAGCAGCCCGTGACAGCTGACTAACTCCCAGGTACCTATTTACTGCTAGGTGAACAGGGGGGCATCAGAGTGAAAGAAACATTTTGCCCATTTGTCTCCGCCTCCACCGGGGATCGAACCCGGAACATCAAGACTAGGAATCCGAAGGGCTGTCCACCCCAGCTATCAGGCGCCCCTGTTACCGGTTCATTAGACTGTTACTGTCGTTTGTGTGTAACAGCGAGGAAAATATCATTGTTTTCTTAACTATAAATGAATTGTGGAGGTCCGGTGGCGCGAAGCCAATTACGCTGACACACCGCAGTGTAGAAAAAGATTAAAAACAAAGAGAAATGAATCAGTGATGCAGCCTTGGGGGGGAGGGGGGGTATTTGGACAAAAGCTCCCGTTATCAGTCTGCCGTTATCAGTGTGCCGTTATCAGGTCGAGGAAGACTTGACACGATACTCGGCCCGTCTCGCCCAGGCACGAAATAAGTAGTTGTCTGTGAACGTTAATGAATATATCTCCAGCGAGGTGGTGAGATTAATAGGAGGGCGGTCCACGTCTCACGTCTTGGGGTCGTTGTCTTGTTCAGCCACGTCTGGGGTCGTTGTCTTGTTCAGCCACGTCTGGGGTCGTTGTCTTGTTCAGCCACGTCTTGGGGTCGTTGTCTTGTTCAGCCACGTCTGGGGTCGTTGTCTTGTTCAGCCACGTCTGGGGTCGTTGTCTTGTTCAGCCACGTCTGGGGTCGTTGTCTTGTTCAGCCACGTCTGGGGTCGTTGTCCTGTTCAGCCACGTCTGGGGTCGTTGTCTTGTTCAGCCACGTCTGGGGTCGTTGTCCTGTTCAGCCACGTCTGGGGTCGTTGTCTTGTTCAGCCACGTCTGGGGTCGTTGTCTTGT